TAGCTGTGCATTGGTGTTATCGAAAATGATTAGTGTCAACATGACAGCGATGTCACACTATTCTCATGTCTTTATTGATCACATAGTGTCAGAATCAGGGCTGTATCCTGGTGGACACTAAATGCATTTTATTCATTGGTCTAATTCATGGAGCGTCGTCAGTCTGACTACTGTAACTCTCTCCTGCAGGTCTCCTGCTACCACCATTCCACCTCTGCAGCTCATCCACAATGCAGCAGCTCCACTGCTCTTTAACCTTCCTAAATCCTCTAAACATGGTGCTCACGTACCGTGCTGTGAATGGATGGGGTCCAGCTTACATCCAGGACCTGGTCCAACCCGACACCCCGACCCGCACTCTCCGCTCTGCATGTGATAAACTGCTTGTTCCTCCTCACTGAGAGCAAAGGAACTCAAACAGTGATTGTGATCCAGAATGCAACGACGTAACGGTGATCCTACAACACTGTTCTCCTCATCTGGAAACTTTCTTCATCCACTGCAAACCCTTTTATTCCCCCCGTGAGTTCGCTTCATTCATCCTGGTCGGTGTTTACATGCCGCCGGCGGGCAACGTGCACGAGGAACAGCGGACACTCGCCGACCAGATACGGCGTGTGGAGCGGACCAACCCGGACTCTTTAGTTATTGTCCTCGGGGACTTTAACAAAGGAAATCTCACCCATGAACTTCCTAAATACAGACAGTTTATTAAATGCCCACCAGAGAGGAGAACACGCTGGATCACTGTTACACCACAGTAAGCAGGGCTCATCACGCCGTCCCTCGTGCTGCACTGGGACACTCTGACCACGTCATGGTCCATCTGATTCCTGCATACAGGCAGAAACTAAAGCTCTGCAAACCTGTGGTCAGGGAATTCAAGAAGTGGACCAGTGAGGCGCTGGAGGATCTTCGGGCTTTGACTGCACAGACTGGGATGTTTTCAGCTTCTGACAGTCTGGATGAGAGCAAGGACACGGTCAAAGAACTGACGTGTCTTACATGGACAAGATGTTCCCAGTACCCTGGCTGTAGAGACTCAACAAGATGGTCAAAGGTTTCTGTTGACGCCACCGATATCTAAACTTAGGTATAAGAACTGCCTCGATGTGTTGGGGACAAAAAGGAGGTTCTTGACAGTCTACTGACCACGTAGCTGTTGTGACCCTTTGTCCCTTGCAAGGAAATAAACGGAGAAAAGACATACTTGACTCAGAGCCTTTGATTCTTACTTAACGATTGTCTGTGCAAAGTCTTCCACCACAGGAGAGAGAGACAGAGAGAGAGAGAGAGAGAGAGAGAGGTTTGAGGTTTGAGGTTTAAAGAATCCTTTATTCCACTTTTACAAAGGAGCCAGAACACAAAACATGAAAGAAAAACCAACAATAAACACACACAGTCCAACAAGCAGAAACAAAAGAGACAGAGTAAACAAACATCTGCATTCTAGCCTGAACAGTTATTCCCCCCCAGGCTAAAGGCCGCCGCGTGTTTCTGCGTCTGCGTCGACGCGCTGGTTTCACTTCCTGGTTGTAAAGTCCTGCGTGTGTTGCAGAGCGATTCACCTCCAGAACAACAGGTGGAGTCACGTGTTTTGTTGAAGACGACCTGGAGAGTCACGTCTTTGTGTGTGGAAGTCGCTGGTGGCTTTATTTATTGATCATAGACTTTATTGCCCCGTGCATCCACACTGCTGCTTTTCATCAAGGACACATTTGTCCCGTATTTTCCTCCACGACTTTGTTCCCTCGTTTGTGGAGATCTCCCTCCATGAATCAGAGGCCATCCGGCGTCCTCATAGTCCGCCAATGACGGCTCATATTTACGCATTTCTTCCCACAAAAGCTCTTCAGTCTGATCCGTTACCCTGGACCAAGACGTCGGAGCCCAAAGTGTAGCTGCAGATGAACACACACTGCGTTACGCCGCGTATCACACAGTGTGTCATGAGTCTGCTGCAAGGGGCCCTTTGTTTCCTTCTACTGCGCCTCGCCAGTATTCATCTGTGATTGGACGCCTTCTCCTTCCAGCTTTTCTCCTCCCTCCACTGCGGGAGATTCTGACTCTTGACTTGTTGTTGTTGTTTTCTCTGGGGGGGGTTGTCTGCATAGTCTGTCAATCATGAATTAGTCGACATCTCATCACTATTAGATTGGATTGGTTTGTCAGGCAGGTGAGGGAGGAAAATCCACCTTCGCAAAGATAAGTTGTTGCAAAGGGCAAAAGGCTCATCATTGCTTTTGGTTGTGGAAAGTCTTTGTGGCCAGAGATCCAGAACTGTGTGGTTTGGTTTGGTAAATGTTTCTGAACGTACGGTCAGTGGATAGTTGGATGAGCTGATCCTCCTCTGTCACTGTCAGGCGTGTGCCGTCTGCTGCGTTGTCTCTGGATGGAAACTGTCTCCAAGCCTTGTCCCTGCGCCGGGAGTCAGCCTCAGAAAAGTACTTCCCACATTGTCCTTCCAGCGCCTCCACAAGAACTGCGCGTGTTGCGGGAGGCGAGAGCACAGCAGCACAAACCGGTGTTACGTGCCTACTGGTTTTTGAACCTACTGGTTTGTCTACGTTGTTTGTTTCCCTCTACAGCGGCAGATGTTTTCCGCCTCAGTCACCTGATTCGTCACACATTCGCAAACATATTGCTGAAAATGTTCAAAAGTCATCACATGTCCATTGCAGCGATTACGATCGTATAAGTGAGAACTACGTCACTGCCACGTATGAAGAAATACATTGAAGAAAATAGATTTATTAAAACATCGCCGCAACCTGGATTCGATCCCCCGCGAGCAAAATGACAAAACGTTACAAGAAGGACGCGCTACGCCGTCGGCCCCTCGAGCTCACTGATGTCGCCGCTGTTTCCTGTACTTGTCATCACATTGTACATCGTCGGTGGCTAGAAAACCTTTTGGTTCAGAGGGAACCAAGACAACTGGTTTTTTGGTGGCGTATCGTTGAACACTCCCAAACATGTGTATCGATACTTTTTCATGAGGCTGCAGCCTTGCACTAACGAAACAAAAATAATTTACTTTTGCGACGATTGTACTGTAAAAATACTAATTGCTAACACTAAGCCACAGGAATAGAACATCAGCAATATTCTATCCACAAAATGAACGTAATGATTTACAGCGATTGTAAACACTGCATGAAGACATTTCCTGTAGAAACATTCAGTCCTTAATCGTCTTATAAGTAATTTCATGATAGCTCACGATTTGCAAACAAATAAAACATTAGCTTCACAATGCCTGACAATCAGGAACCCAGGAAAAACTCTGGAGGAATTGTAATTCAATTAAATTTATTTTGTCGGGCCCCAAATCAAATATTAGCAAGAGGGCTTTACAATCTGTACATATACAAGACATCCTCTGTCCCAGGACCCGAACATCGAAACAGGAAAAACTCCCCCAAAACCCTTTTAACAGGGAGAAAAGAGGGAGAAACCTGTGGGAGAGCAAACGAGGAGGGATCCCTCTCCCAAGATGGACAGAAGTGCAATAGATGTCTTGTGTACAGAATAATTACAAGAGCTACAAAACATTCAATTGAAATGGCAGAACCACCGAAGAACGCAAGACCAGGGTCCAGATAGAACCACGAGAACCTGTGAAGAGAAAAAGCACAAAGACTCTTGTGAAGTAGGATGGTTGGCATGCAATAGGTGGCGAGCAGACAGTGGCATTAAAATTATTTTAATGTCAAATTAATTTTACAATATGACTCATCTTCCTGTTTGTAATGCAATGTTAGACTTCTATTTATATAGATTGGTGTAGTTTATTTTCCCCACTACACAAGTCAGCAGCAGTGCAGAGACAAACCTAGCATAGAGTTAGAGAGCTTCAGCCACATACTTCCTCCATTACAGATAACATGCAGGACAGCAGAAGTCCTGCTCCAATGGCGGCTTTCCAATGCAGAGCCAGTGGAACCACAGCCCGCATGTTGTACACTGGATCTGAGAAGCATTGCCATAGATTAGTATATTCTATTTGTAAGATTACAGAACGGTTAGTTTAATCTTACCCAGTCATCGTGCCCATCTTTATTTCTCCCTGGACTTTGCTGTGCATTCCCACATGCTCTACATAGTTCCGTCAGGTTTTCTAGCACATTACACAAGTATGATGACTTTCTCGATAACCTCTAAATTCATATGATAAAACAGAAAAAGCGACCAACCTGAGTCAGTGACCAGTCTGCATGCTATTTCTCGCCTCAACAGAGTGATGGAAGCCTCGTCTGTAGAGAAATCTATCAGGCACCGCTGAGAATAAGCTCTGCAAACTACAGAAGAGACATATGTACACACACACACACACACACACACACACACTATGTATAATATATATGAATTCAACAAAGGTCAGTTGCACTCTTACCTTGCAGACAAGTGCCCCACAGGATGTTGAGTCCTGTTGTTTTGGATGGCTTACTTTATCACAAGTCCACCGAGAAATATGAACATTTCGAAGTCTCATGAAAACTCTGTTAAGTACAAAAAAACATCTATATATTTTCGTTTTGTAACAAAGAAAGTGACATTTTAACTTCCGATTTATAGCTTGCCTTGTCACATCCTTGCATTTATTTAGGTGTTCTGGAGTTTCACCTAAAGGATCAAGGTAAAGCACCCGCTTCTCCTTTGGATACATTACCTTCACAATACATTTAAATGAAAGTAAAGAGGATTCAGTATCACATTCAGTTAGCTAGATTAGCACACAAGAACACTGCTACACATAGTTTAATAAAATGTACATGTATTCTTACCACAAGTGTCCAGTGCTGTTTGTCGCACACTGGTCCTATGAGGATGTCGAAGGCCACGGGGTCAAGCTGAAAACATGCATAATGAATGACAATGCGGCTTGAATCCATAATCGTGTCTAAACCGATTTCAAAAAGGTTTTACCTTTCTCAATCCTCTGAATGATCCTTGCCACATTGCGGTCATTTGGAACGAGTCAATCAGAAAGAATTGGCTTTCCGTTTCTTTTTGTTGCTGCATTACAATCGTACGCATGAATGCATTTAAAACCTTAAATGACAGTTGTGGGTTGTTACTTTTTATGCCATGACAAATGAAAGACATCATGCATTTACTGTACCTCACTCTCCAGCTGCCTCCCAGGGGCCAAATTTTGAAGGTCCGTGGCAAAAATCTTGTATGGCCCCACTTTGCTCCACAGCACACCTTGACGTTGCCCCGCCCATATGTCAGCGATCACTGAGATTAGAAAAGAGTTGTTTACCGAGGGCTCATTTGGGGTTTGATGACCTATCAAGTTCCAAAACATCACCAAACTGTCCTTATATTGAAACTGTATTGAGGTTTATACTTGCATTCCTCTGGGGAGGCAGGTGCAGGCCGTGGTGAGAGACTGGATGTTAAGGAGTCTGATTTTGGGGCTACAGACGGGGATTGGGGAACCCCCAAACACCGTACGGGGCTGGGCTGCAGTGCTGGAGGAGAAGTGGATGTGGCAGCAATCCATTTCGCAGGGATCCGCACTTCTGGTTCCACGTACCTCTTTAGATGGTCAATGTTCACTTTGCAAACATTTTTCCCTTGTAGGGTTGTCAAGTCAGCACTTTTTCCATCTATATGGATTGCCATGTATGGACCCAACAAGTCGGTTTCCAGTTTACCCCCTTTCCTTTGCTCTTCCCGAATATTCTTTCGCAAAACTTTGTCCCCCACTGCGAAGCTGTCATCATCCCCCTTTGCAAGTTTTCTCTTTCGCACCTTTTCCTGCGTCTCAGCAATGTTCGCCTCCACTTTATTGTAGACCTCTTTGAGGTCGTTCGTGTGGGTGCAGACGTCCTCATTGGTCATATAGATGTGGACCCGTTCCTCAGATATCTGTAACATCGGTGAAGAAAAAATAAAATTAAACATTACAGAGGAGATATACATACATTACCAGCTTGTAGTTTAGTGCTAAAAGGCCGTCATACCTGCCACTTATCTGGTATTTCAGATGGGTAACGGGCCTCCCTTCCATACAATAAAAAATAAGGAGAGTATTTGGTTGTCAACTGTTTTTTAGTACGGAGTCCAAATACAGTTGGCTGTATGTACTTGTCCCAGTCACTTGGGTGGTCCTGCACCATTTTCTTCAAAGCTCTGAAATAACGAAAAGAAAAATTCATTCAACATTTATGGTTGATCACAAGCGGTTTAATTCGAATATATTTTGTAGAAAAAACATATTTTATATTTATTTATATATTTTTACCCTTGAATTGTGCCGTTTAGCTTTTCCACCAAGCCATTGGTTTGAGGGTGGTAGGGAGCACAGAGGCTTTCACACAACCCTGTGTTTATCTAGAATATGCATAAAGGGGAACAATTTCATTACCATGGTGCTTTTTCCATTGTTGATGTGACAAAAACAAAATGTTAGGATTCAGAATTTAACTTAATTTGTTGACAAATTCTTTGCCACGGTCGGTCAAGATGCGTTTTGGGGCACCATACTTGTAAAAGAAGTCCATTATGCAGCGTGTGACTTCTTCTGCTCCCTTCGTTCTTAGCGGGTAGACTTCTATCCACTTCGTAAAGTAGTCCACCATGACACAAATGTACATGTAACCATTGTTGGTGCATTTCAGCTTGCCAACTAGGTCCATTCCCACAAGCTCAAAGGGCTCGGTCACCTTTGAATGCAAACCAACACTTAATACCAACAATACTCTACTACATACAACATGTTCAATGTAATGTTTATTCACCTCGATGGGTTTGTACTGGATTTTCTCTTTTATAGAGGTCCTCTTTTTTTGGCAAGCGTCACATTGGCCAATCTAACAAAGTGAAACAATGAAACTCATATTGAATATATAAATATTACAAAAAGCACCCACGAAATTTGGAGCTAGAAATACTTACCCATTTTTGGATGTCAGCCTTCATGCCAGGCCAGTAATACCTTTGAAGGATTGCATCCAAGGTTTTCTCAATACCGCAATGAGCCCCAATATCGCTGGCATGAAACTCGACAAAGATGTTGTTCGCTTCTTGTGGAGTAAGTACGACTTTGGCAACATGATGACGCTGCTCATCCTTTTTTCTGCGGCACTGGTAATAAAGTTCCCCATCAAAGGATGTATATTGCATAAACATTAAAAATACATTTAAAAATTCGTTAGGAAACCATAGGGTCGTGTGGATTGCCTTACTTATCACTTGGTAACTCTCTGCCCGTCTTTTTAGAACGTATCGCTGATTCTGGTTGAACTCAGTCGGATAGTTGTGGTTGATCTTGAACTCAAGCAACTCGTTGACTTTGCGAGGGTCCATCAGTGCTTTCTAATTTTCTGTCCTTTCTATAGCTTTTCGAAATGTATTTCTACTGAGCAGAGGTCGCACAAATTTTGCAATTCTGCCTTTATACTGATGTTGCTAATTAACGTGATTGCTTAATCCCCGGTGTATTTTCGGATTTCACGTCTGTAAAGCAATTTTTTAACGGTGTGGATGTAATGTGTAAATAACTGTATCAAGCATCGCAAAAACGTATCAATACACATGTTTGAAAGTGTTGCACGATACGCCACCAAAACCAGTTGTCTTGATTCACTCTGAACCAAAATGCTGATGTACAATTGATGACAAATACAGGAAACAGCGGCAGCATTTGTGAGCTCGAGGGGCCGACGGCGTAACGCGTCCGTCTTGTAACGTTTTGTCACTTTGCTCGCGGGGGATCGAATCCAGGTTGCGGCGATCTTTTAATAAATCTATTTTCTTCAATGTATTTCTTCATACGTGGCAGTGACGTAGTGCTCACTTATACGACCGTAATCGCTGCAATGGACATGTGATGACTTTTGAACATTTTCAGCAATATGTTTGCGAAGGTGTGACGAATCAGGTGACTGAGGCGGACAACATCTGCCGCTGTAGAGGGAAACAAACACGCACGCGTAGACAAACCAGTAGGTTCAAAAACCAGTAGGCACGTAACACCGGGAGTCAGCCTCAGAAAAGTACTTCCCACATTGTCCTTCCAGCGCCTCCACAAGAACTGCGCGTGTTGCGGGAGGCGAGAGCACAGCAGCACAAACCGGAAGAAGACGTGAGGAGACGCGTAGAAAGTCACCAAGCTTCACTTTAACGTCTTAAAGTGTCACATCGTGTGAGTATGTCCCGTGACACACAGCGTGTGTTTACTGTGTGTTTGTGTGTTAACGGTCCGTCAACCTTTGCAAAGTTCCTTTACCGTTTAGACGAAAAATACGGAAATAAAACGAAAATACGGAAATAACACCGTTTTATTTTAGTTTTTTCGCTTTAAACCAAAAGAGTAAATGTCCTTTTCTGTCCAAATCCAAACACGAAAAAACGACCGATCTGTTTTTCTGTAAATCCCTTTTTGTTTGTTCCTTTTAAAAGAAACCGAAGCGCAGCCGCTAAACCGGAAGTGCGCACATTTTAACAGTAAAACGCAATAGAACGTTTGTACGATAGAAATCCGTCTGTGACGCAACAATATCTATAATATAGCAGAGTAACATTAGAAGAATGAATATGAAACGTCATCGTGTGTTAACAACAGCAGTTGACTACACGCAGACACATTTACATTCATCCATGTACACAGATACTCATTCATCTGTGCGCTGTTTGATGCAATATAGTTATTAATATAGTAACAACACATTTATTACTGTAGGTAATAACACAGTTTGTGGTGGCAGACTCGTTGCTGTTGGCTCTGATATTTATTTCCAGTATTGTTGTGTTGCTTCAGTGCTCAGAGACACTTTAAGGAGAGTAAACGTGTTCACATCTCCACCACCAGGGGGCAGAATACGACTATTTAAAGCAGTGGTTCTCAGCTGGTCTGGTGGCTCCGGGACCCACCATCACCCCTCAATGACAACCGACCCAAATCGAGGGACATCCTTCACTTCTCAAATGTATTTAATGAAAATATGGTGCAGTTTGAACCTGAGAGAGTGTGGAGACAGAACACGTATGACCACACAAAAACAAGTTTAATGAGAAAACAGCCAGCTGGTAGCGACGCTAGAGAGGGAACTATTCCCTTACCGCTGCCTCCTGCCAAAGGAAAGCGCTTAAAAGAAACACGACATTTATAGGATGAGAATTTAAAATGACGTCTCTTGACACGTTGTCTCAAGACAACAACACAAAGTGTCCCATGAGAGTTTTAGTGTTGAGGTGAATGAGCTCTGTGTGTTTGTCCTGATGAAGATAATAATGTGTGATCTCTCCCAGCAGGTTGGTGTGAAGGTGTGAAGGTGTGGACTCTGCTATGAATCAGACTGAGGACCCAGAGGACGGAGTCCCTCCCTCTGAAGCCCCTCTGTGTGGGGAACATGACAGCCAGACCAAAGCTCAGAGGTGAGAGGACCATCTCCAACTGTCCTCCACTCGTCTCCATGTCCCAACGTCTCTGACTCACTGACTCTGCTTCTATGTGTGTGACCAGGATCCATCAGAGACCAGGACCTGGACCTGGACCCAGCTGTGTGTCCATGAAGAGTAACCGGTCTATGAATCATCCTATAGACATCAAAGATGTTGGTCCCTCTGTTGATGCAAGGTGAGGGTCTCAGGCTGATGATGAGGTGTTTCTACCAGACTCTCTGGTGGAGGTTCTGGGTTTCTTGCTCCAGGGCCCTTCAGCAGTGTCCAGTGAGGGAGGGAGAGCTCCATGGAGGACGTGGTGAGACCTGTTGGGACTAAACCAAACTGACTGGTGAAGAAAGCAGTGAGCTGAAAGACGGAGCTGTTGATTCTCAGTGGGACCAGCAGGACCAGTAGACCTAAACCACTACAGGGAGTCATGTGGTCCACATCCAGACCTCACGTCATGGACCTTTACCTTGTTTTGCTCTCTGTGAGGACGGACACCATGTGAGCTGATGCTTCATGATTAGATGACGTGATGATGTAATCTCAGTGTTTCTTTCAGGTCACATCAGCAGAGAGGAAAGTCTCCTGAACCCAGATGTTTGTCCATGAAGAGTCATCGGTCTAATGAGCATCTGATTAACTTCAAAGATGGACGGCGTTCTTATGACACAGAGTAAGTAGGGCCCGATAAAATCTGTTTCATTTTTTCTCGAATTCCGGTTTAATTTTTCCCACAATACTTATTGTCTTTTAATTTTTGAGAATTTGTTTTTTAACATTTTACGCAGAGACAGTGAATTAAGAACTGAAATGTAGACAATATATTCAGTTAAAACTGAAAACTTCCATACATAGAACCTTATTTGAGGCAAAAACATGCTGCATGATAAAAACATGGCAATATTTTTTCTTGTGTGTCCAAACAGAACAGTCATTCAAAAAAAAAAAATCTGATTTGTTGGTTTAAATTAAACAAAATACATGACTGAACAAAAAATGCTGTTAGTTCCATGTAAGATCAAACTAAGTAAGAATAGTCCTGTCAGTATCTACTAACAAAGGTGCATAACAATTGCAACAGCCCGTGCAGTAAACAATAAAACATTTTGGAAATTCAACTTAACTTTGGTGGAAATATCAAAAACATTGTAAACTTCAATTCCAAGTGCAACTCGGAGCCTTAGCTTGCACAAACTCCTTGCTGATGAGGAAGCGCACCCATCTTCTCTTTCTAGCAGGCAGATCTCATCCATGTCACAATGGAGAATGATTTGCAGAGCTGCCAGGTCTCACCCACCAGCGTGATGACATGGCAGAGGCAGGTTACATGTACGCTGTTGGGCAACACTCCTCTCAGAGCCTCCTGTATTCCTTCAGACAGTGAGCAGCATTATCAGTCACCACGGCCCAGACATCATCACGCTCACATTGTTGTGATTGAGAGACAATAGAATGGCTTTGGAAGTATTCACATCTGTCCATGAAGACAACATCAATCAGAAAGTACTGTTGTCCAACGCCTACGATGAAAGATAGAAAATAATAATAACCATGATTAGTATTGTGTCACAACAAAAGGGTGAGATACAGCTAGACATAGACAGACGCTTTATTTGCTTTAATTCTTAATTCCCGATGTGAGAGTAGCTTTAATGTTGTGATCAATACATTTAATACATACATGTGTAACCAGGATCCATCAGAGACCAGGACCTGGAGCTGGACCTGATCCTGAACCTGGTCTGCAATCTGGACCTGAACCCAGATGTGTGTCCATGAAGAGTGATCAGTCTATTGGTCGATGGATTGAGTTCAAAGATGGACGCCGTTCTTATGACCCAGAGTAAGTTCTTAAACAGATGAAGAACTGTTCTGATCCTTAGTCATGAATTACATAAATGTTTGTTCATTGTTTAACGTGTTGTTTCCATGACGATCCATCATGACGGAACTCATTATCTTCATCTAACTCCAGGGTGTCAAACTCATCTTAGGTTTGGGTCAGATACTGTCCACTTTGATCTCAAGTGGGCCGGACCAGTGAAATCTTAGGCGATGGTCCGGTCGACGGGGGGCCGTCATTTCCCAAGCGGGCGCTGCTGCCTGGAGGAACGCTGTGGTCTAAAAGGTCTAACACAGGGGAGCCCACACTTTATCAGCTCGCAAGCTACTTGTCATCAACGCTTCAATCCAAGTCATGGCTATCGCCCGAATAATAACAACGAGCAGCAGCGGTAACCAAGGGAACAACAGCGCTGCAGACCGGGAGCACAAAACGAATCCATATAAAGAAACAAGCAACAATAAGTTACTGCAGACGTTCTTGGTCGCTACCTCACTCCATGACTTGCACTGATGCATGCGTGGTGACCTGACGTGGTTCTTTCTTCAATGTTCGGTGATCTACCAGCACTGCGTTGGTGAAGGACCAGGGGCCTCATTTATAAACGTTGCGTACGCACAAAAGAAGGCGTACGCCGCTCTCGACGCAATAATTGGTATTTATAAAAAGCAAACTTGACGGAAAAATGTCCTTCACGCAAGCTCGGACCCATGCGTACGCACAAAAACGGGTGAAATGAGAACCGTCGGCAAATGCAAGAAACACGCAAACGTGTGTGAAAGTGTGTAAAACTAGACTGTTGTAAAAGAAATGCCAATACTGCCTCTCATAAATAACACAAACACCCGTTTGATCTGCAGCGTAAAACAAACAGAAATACAAATGAACACATTTTCAAAAAGAAAAGTGAAATATGTTCTGCAATAATATCGGCATGTTATTAAATTCATCCTCAAAACACAGCTGTTCCTTGTCAGATGCAATCAGATGGACGGTAATAAAACGCCATGATGCCGTCACAATATGATAATACGCTGATGGCTGATCTGCGCTCTTAGAAGACGTGGCACATGGAAGGATTGGTGCTGTAGTGCAGCGCACCATCGGCCTGTTTAAGGGCAGATGGCGCTGCCTCGACTGCACTGGAGGGAGGTTGTTGTTGTTGGATCCTGTCCCCGATCCCCAATCACTGCCACCAGACTCTCATCAGGAGGGGACAGCTCCGGTGTCCCTTTCCCCCCGTGGAGACACACGTTGGCGATGGCGCGCTGATGTCAGACCAGTTTTTCTTTATTTGGGTCCGAGGTCGTGAGGCTGCAGCGTTGCTCTGCAACCTTTTGCCCCTCAGGTGCCTTGTTGGCATCAGTGATGTCCACACTGTGTCCTCCAAAGAGCATCTTACTTCTCCTTCCCACCTCCCAATGATCATCTCCACTTCACACTGAGTGAAGTTACGTTTATTCGTTTTCCTCTCAGTGTTTGTCATGATTTCGCAATCGATGAATATTCATGTGTGGGCGTTCCACAGACTATATATGGGCAACTATGGGCGTGACATGAAGCCGCAAAAGCTGCGCTGCATTTAGAAGTGATTGTGATTTATTAAGGGAAAACTGCGTAGGACGTTTTATAAGTCTGAATATTTCTGTGCGTACGCATGTCCTACGTTTCATCCGTACGACACTTCTGGAGCAAATCCTATGCAAGCTTTTATAAATGAGGCCCCTGGTCCCCCTGGTCTAACACATGCGCTCACTCACAGAGTGTGACCCCCAGTGGACTGATTAGGAATAGCAGCTACTTTTATAGAAAAGCTATTTGTGTCTTTCTGTAATTCTCACAATAGTAAAGTCATCCAGCGGGCTGCACTGGACCCCCAGCAGACCAGATTTGGCCCTCGGGCCTTGAGTTAGACACCCATCATCTAACTGGTCTGTGTGTGTTTAAGTGTGAATCATTAACTGTAAACATCCTCAGATGTAAACACAATGTGAGCTAGTTCCTCCACATCAGGATCAGCAGAGGTCACATCTGGAGACAGCTGCAGGTTTCTGGAGACAGATGACTGGGACTGAACATGTGATTAGAATGAACTCAGTGCTCTGTGGACCAGCTGACGTGGTCTCTGGACTCCACGCAGAGGTTTGGACAAAGTATCATCAGTAGACTCTGTGAAAAGGTCCAAAGACTAGTTTCAGAAGATCTAAGGAGACTTCTAGAGGTCAGGGGACGGACTAAAGAGGTTTGAAGTAGTTCCATAGGACTTTGTACCAGATGCAGAGGTCTGCAGATGTTTTTATGACCCACAGTAAGAACTAAAACCAGATGAAACTGATGACTAACTGTCACTCAACTAATAAACTGTCCGTCATCATCGACAGTCTTCAGCATCTGGTTTTCATCATAATCCATCATGACAAAATCCAATATCTTTAACTGATGTTGTATTGGTGTTGATGGTCCAAACACCATGTGAGCTGATGGTTCATGTTCCTCCACAGAGAGGACCAGGAGAGCTCAGAGGTTCCCACAGGTCCGTCTGCCCAGCAGCATCAAACACACCTGGACTCCATCTTCATGGTGTGTACATGAACAACTACTTTAACATCTCTCAGTTCACCATCATCTCCATGCTGCACTTTGTAGACCAGTGGATTGTCCGTCTGTCCAACATGGACCTGATGGTGGCTTCCATGTTCTAGTTGGTGTCATTCATAGAATGTTCTGTTCCAGCTGCTGGAGGAGAACATCCTCACTTTTGTGAAGAACGAGCTAAAGAAGATCCAGAAGGTTGTGAGTTCAGATTACCCAGAATGCTTAGAGAAAGAGGATGAGGAGGTGCTGGATGAAGAGCAGAGGAGGAGCAGAGAGGCCTTTGTGAAGATCTCAGTGCACTTCCTGAGGAGAATGAAGCAGGAGGAGCTGGCTGAGTGTCTGCAGAGCAGTAAGAGGATTTCTCTACAGACTTACCATGCTGATAAATGAGACCTTCACTAATGTCTCCAGAGATGGACAGAATATATTCATAGTCATTCTCTGAGGAAAGGACATGTTGAAATATATTCTTTGACTCATTGATCTTCTTTGTTGTCTTCATTCAGGACTTCTTGCTGCAGTTTGTCAGCGTGAACTCAAATCCGACCTGAAGAAGAAGTTCCAGTGTGTGTTTGAGGGGATCGCTAAAGCAGGAAACCCAACCCTTCTGAATGAGATCTACACAGAGCTCTACATCACAGAGGGAGGGACTGCAGAGGTCAATGAAGAACATGAGGTCAGACAGATTGAAACAGCATCCAGGAGACCAGCCAGACCAGAAACAACCATCAGACAAGAAGACCTCCTCAAAGCCTCTGCTGGAGGAGAGGGACCAATCAGAACAGTGATGACTAAGGGAGTGGCTGGCATTGGGAAAACAGTCTTAACACAGAAGTTCACTCTGGACTGGGCTGAAGACAAAGACCACCAGGACATACAGTTCACATTTCCATTCACCTTCAGAGAGCTGAATGTGCTGAGAGAGAAGAAGTTCAGCTTGGTGGGACTTGTTCATCACTTCTTCAGTGAAACCAGAGCAGCAGGAATCTGCAGGTTTGAGAAGTTCCAGGTCGCGTTCATCTTTGACGGTCTGGATGAGTGTCGACTTCCTCTGGACTTCCACAACAATGAGATCCTGACTGATGTCAGAGAGTCGGCCTCAGTGGATGTGCTCCTCACAAACCTCATCAGGGGGAAGCTGCTTCCCTCTGCTCGCCTCTGGATCACCACACGACCTGCAGCAGCCAATCAGATCCCTCCTGAGTGTGTTGGCATGGTGACAGAGGTCAGAGGGTTCACTGACCCCCAGAAGGATGAGTACTTCATGAAGAGGTTCAGAGATGAGGAGCAGGCCAGCAGGATCATCTCTCACATCAAGACCTCACGAAGCCTCCACATCATGTGCCACATCCCAGTCTTCTGCTGGATCACTGCTACAGTTCTGGAGGAGGTGTTGAAGACCAGAGAGGGAGGAGAGCTGCCCAAGACCCTGACTGAGATGTACATCCACTTCCTGGTGGTTCAGTCAAAAGTCAAGAAGGTAAAGTACGATGGAGGAGCTGAGACGGATCCACACTGGAGTCCAGAGAGCAGGAAGATGATCGAGTCTCTGGGAAAACTGGCCTTTGATCAGCTGCAGAAAGGCAACCTGATCTTCTATGAATCCGACCTGACAGAGTGTGGCATCGATATCAGAGCAGCCTCAGTGTACTCAGGAGTGTTCACTCAGATCTTCAGAGAGGAGAGAGGACTGTACCAGGACAAGGTCTTCTGCTTCGTCCATCTGAGTGTTCAGGAGTTTCTGGCTGCTCTTCATGTCCATCTGACCTTCTTCAGCTCTGGTGTCAATCTGCTGTCAGAACAACAAACAACCTCAAACAACCGCTCTAAACCCAATCCTGACCCAAAGCGTCTCTACCAGAGTGCTGTGGACAAGGCCTTACAGAGTCCTAATGGACACCTGGACTTGTTCCTCCGCTTCCTCCTGGGTCTTTCCCTGGAGACCAATCAGACTCTCCTGCGAGATCTGCTGACACAGACAGGAAGTCACTCACAGACCAATCAGAGAACAGTCCAGTACATCAAGAAGAGGATCAGTGAGGATGTGTCTCCAGAGAAAAGCATCAATCAGTTCCACTGTCTGAATGAACTGAATGATGTTTCTCTAGTGGAGGAGATCCAACAGTCCCTTAGATCAGGACGTCTCTCCAAAAAGAAACTGTCTCCTGCTCAGTGGTCAGCTCTGGTTTTCATCTTACTGTCATCAGAAGAAGATCTGGAGGTGTTTGACCTGAAGAAATACTCTGCTTCAGAGGAGGCTCTTCTGAAGCTGCTGCCAGTGGTCAAAGCCTCCAACAAAGTTCTGTAAGTACAGA